TCTCCCCTGGAACCAGGGTGGATAAAAATCAATGATTTTTTTTTTAAATCAGATTTATTTTTATTTAAATCGGATTTTTTTGATTTTTATCGAATTTATTTTAATAAAAAACTTTTGGGGTAAAAATCTATCGTAAGATAGTTTTCTATTTAAGATACATAAATAATTTAGTTTGTTCAGCATGAAATGGAGCTTAGTTATGTAGCACGAGGCTGTATATTCTGCAACACTGGGACTATTGGTGAGTCAATAGTAGGATAGGAGTAGCAGAGATGACAGTTGCTCTTTAAAAATTATGATTTAAATCAAGCCTTTTTACTAGTGATTTAAATCACGATTTAAATTGTGATTTAAATCAACTCGATTTAAATCAAATCCACCCTGCCTGGAACATCCAGAGATTCCAGGGGCTGAGGATGATGCTGTCCCAGACCCAGAGTAGATAAAAATAGATGACTTTTTTAAAAAATAAAATTTTAAAAATCAGCTTTTTTTCATTTAAATTGGATTTTTTTTAATTTAAATCACATTTTTTTTTATTTTTATCGAATTTATTTTAATAAAATGCTCTAGGAGTAAAAAAATCTATCTAAAGATTTTTTTTAATTTAAGATACATTAATAATTTAGTTTATTCAGCATGAAATGAAGCTTAGTTATGTAGCATGAAGCTGTATATTCTGCAATATTTACATTTTTGGTAAATTCATTCAATGAATCCAAGCTCTGCATGCTGAGATAACATGCACTGCATTGATGCATTCACACAATTTCATAGTAGCCATGAGATAAATCATAAAACAAAGTTCAGGAATATTCCTTAATCCCATTATTTTGCTAATCTATGTACACTACAAACTGTATGATTGTTTGAAGAGAAATGCATCTAATACCAACAGGCTCTAAGTGTGAGGAAGAAGAGCAAGTAGTAAAAATGAAAGTGAAACCTTCTAAACAGCTTATAAATAAAATATTAAAGAGCACTTGTCATTTCAGATCCATCATGACAGCGCCTGTTAGGAGGCATTCAATCATCTGCTGCCTGCCACATCCCTCACCTTGTTGTGTCACTGCTGCACCACCGCCAGTCTCATTAAAGTGAATGGGACTGTTAGTGAGTCAACAGCGGGTCAGAGGAGAAGCCGCTGAGGGACAGAGATGACAATTGCTCTTTAAAAATTATGATTTAAATCAAATCCACCCTGCCCAGACCCTTCTGGCATTGGGGGAAGTGGTCAATTGGACTGGGAGCTGCCTGCCTTCATGAATGCAGGGGAGAATCAGTTGCAGATGGGCAACAGCTGTCAACGTTCCAACAACAAACCCAATCAAAGTAAGCACGGCTGAGACAATCCAATCTCTTAATGCAAAACTTTATTGAGTACATCATATTGGCAAAGATGAGGGCAAAACCAGATCTAATCATTTTCCGTGCAAACCCACATAGTTAAAGTTCAGGTTTGCCCTCCCCCTATTAGACCGGGTCACATTGTCCAATGGAGTCTCCTGGTATTGTTGTGAGAAATTCTTTTGGCTCTGGTACACGTTTCTCATGGCTGGCATCTTGATGTCTGGAACCTAAGTTCTATCTACCCCTCCCCCGCTTCATTGGCAAGCTGAGAAGCAATAATAGTTGCAACAGCAAAAGGACCTTTTGAAGCTTGACAGCAGCAATGAAAGACAACAGATCCCCTCTGACAAGGAACAGCTGCCTCCCCCACCCAATCTGCTGGTGCAGGGAGTGGAGTGAAGGGAAGCTCAGAGGAGGTCTGCAAGGCTGCTCATGAGGAGGCTGCCCCACCCTCCTCATAAGGAACATGTGGCTCAGGGTAATTTAACCAGAGGTCAGGGTATAGTGTGTTTGTTGGGAATAACCATTTATCTTGGCATGCATTCCCCTGACTTTTGTAAACCCTGACTCATGGACTTCTTGTGTTTCAGCTTTTTGATTCCCATACTTTGCTTTGCAGATTCCGACTCTGGACTATGGCAAACGGACCTTGTTTTGCAAACTCTGCACCTGGCTTGTGGACTTAAGACTGTCTTCCTGTTTGGGGGCTTGGTTCTGGTGACTAGTGGACCCAGCTGGTGGGACTGGGTTACATTGACTATGGGTGGTTGTTTTGTGGGGAAGAGTGGAATTTTACCAACACCCATGAATGGCCATCTGTCGTAGCTTAGCAGTGCAGTAAGAGACTTTATTAGTGCCTGTATCTGCCTTCGAAACCTGGATCAGAAGAGACTTGGTCATGTGCAGATAAGAATTAGACCCAAAGGTGCTTTTTCAGGAGGCAACTGGACTTTTTTTTTTTCTTTGAAGATGTTTCGCTTCTCATCCAAGAAGCATCTTCAGCTCTGACAGGATAGTGGGGAACGGAAAGTTTTATATTCCTTGCAGACTGATGGTCATTTGCATCCTTTTAGAGGGTTGTTGAGACACTTGGAAGTTTATCTGCGTCCTCAGGGTCACCTGAGTAGTGCTCCTGATTCCTGTAGTCTGCAGTTTTTTCTCTGGAAATCCATTCCTATTCCGACACCATTCAAAGGTGTTCATCCCAAATTGGATAGCTAAAAGTCTGTAGAGTTTCTCAGTCATCCAGGACATGGTTGTCCCAAAGGTGTTTTTTCAGGAGGCAACCTGAATGGATTTGAAGCAAAATGTCTTCAAAGAAAAAACAATAAAGTCCAGTTGCCTCTGGAAAAAGCACCTTTGGGACAACCATGACCTGGATGACTGAGAATCTCTACAGACTATAAGAATTAGACCTTCTATCTCTTTCTTCAACTTTTCTGCTCTTAGCCATTTCCTAGTCTTTTAGATGTCTGTTTTATCTGCTAGTTTATTATTATCATTATTATCTCGTGTGCCAGAGGTGGCACGCAGAGCCCTCTCTGTGGGCACGTGCACCGTCGTCAGCTGCACTTCTGGTTTCTGCGTGCGCATGTGCACCAGCCAGGTGGTTTCCAGTGCTCCGGTGCACACGCACATTCCGTTTTGGGCACTTGGTGCCGAAAACGTTCACCATTACTGCCATATATGATGGAATGAGGGGTGTCACTCTCCCCTGCCAAAGGCCTGGGTGAAGAGTCAGGTCATTATAGTTCTTTTAAATTTTAGCATAAATAAGAATGAGATAATGCAATGGCAGTCCAGACAACAAAAACAACATAACAACAAAAAGCATCTCTAAAAAAGTAGATTCCACCCAATGCTCACATTTCCCTTGTCCTGTTGATGCACAATGTCTTGCCAGCTCTGATATAGTGCAAAAGTTCTCACTATGCTAAATAAACTCCCAGTATATGTGTAGAGGGGTACAGTGATCAAATAATGCATAAACGGTAAGAGAAAGTGAACAACCACTCAGCCCTGGGAAAAGGGAAGACATGAGAAGGAACTCATCATAAAAAAAGCCTTCATTCTGTGTTTGGTGTAAGGGGGTAGACAAATACTCTGGGAGGTTTTTAAGATGTTATTATGCTCTACAACAGTAAAGTAGTATTCTTGAATACTTTGCTTTGTTGTTTACTGACCTGTATTATCTCAGAGGGCTGACAATATATGCTATAGTACTTTACAATTCTGAGTAAAATAAACTTGAAACAAATCCCTTGCTTCCTCAGTTTTTGACTAGGGCAACAAGCAGATAGGATGGTAAGTCATACCAAATTCTACCTACTGAAAAAATTACCAAAGTCATTACAACATTACTTGCAACAGCAGTGTAACAGTTAAGCATGTTGTTTGAAGAATGACTGCAAAACCAGAAGCCCAGCAAAACAGTAAGAGCAATAGACTCACTTCAATTAGCCCATAACCAATGTAACAACTGTAAAAAAATATACTTTAGTAATGAGCAGTTTGACACTTCTTATCTCAAGAAGAATATTGTGCTTAAACTGTTTGCTGTAGAAATTCTAAATTCCAGCCCCTTCTAATATTGTATACCATAAAGTTATTTACTTCCTCCATTTTACTTTTTCTTATTTATTCTTATGTGTATTTAAACAAGGATGTAAATAAACTGGACAAGTTTTATAAATATATTTTATATGTTTAGTTAACACAGTTCAACAGGTTTTATATTTTTATGCTATCTTAAATTTATCTATCTATCTATCTATCTATCTATCTATCTATCTATCTATCTATCTATCATCTATCTGGATATTTTACTGTGTTTTCTTTTGTCCCCACTAGTTACACTAGTTTTAAATTCCTATTACTTCTTATAGGAGGAAGACTTAAGATACTTTAAATGTTGTTCTATTTAACACCAACTAATGGAAACATTTTCCCTAAAACTGGAACTTTTTCCCTGCCAACTTTTGCACACTTTCATAGTTTAGAGCTCAGATTATTCTTTTAATTAATCTTCTCTATTAAAAAAAAATGGAGAGGCAGTAAAAAAGTTGAAGCAGTTAAGAGAGTCATCCCCGCCCCCCGGGTTGCTTGTGAAATTTGTAAATTGTGAAGTTTGATTTATACTTTCAGAGTAGATAAAATGCAGTAGAAACTGCATTCTCCCCACCCCACCCCAATATCCTGTGTTCTTTCTTTATTATATAGTTGTAAAACCTATTCAATTAATATTATTAATCTTATCATACTAGGGTTCTGAGTGTAAATCTTGATCTTTCTGGTAGCCACAGGCAAAAATCCTGATTCTATATCATATAAATTAGGTAATTGCATGGCAGAAGGGTCTTTTGTGATTTTTAGATTGAATAGTCAGACAAAGAAAAACATTACTAGCCATGCATTTGAGAAACTGATTTCTGACAATCTCATAGTTGGGTCAAGGAAAATTTAGGACCTCAGTAACAGGTTTACAACAATAAAAATTAAGAGCAATAGAGGGATGCCTGGAAAAGTCATTCAGCAACATCTGGAGCAACATCCATTTTTCTAGATCATACATTATGTTCCTCTTATTTGTAACCTATTTGACTTTTTGATTATTGTATTTCAAAGATTAAGATGGTATCTTAATACCCCACCTCTGGATGAATGTTCTTTAACTGAACGTCCTCTTCTTCAGGAAACCTTTTCTATCTTTTCCTTACTTGTGCAAAAAGCTGAAATAAACAGAACACTAAGATATAAAATTAAGTAAATTTCAAAAAAACCTTTATTTTAAAATCTGAAAATGTAATTCTTTAATATTAAGTATTATTTTTTATAAAATTGTAAAGACTTACAGTATCTGCATGTGCAAGTGGTACACTGCTGACATTAGAATATGCATGGAATAAATGAGAGTAAACAGAGGCCTGAAGATTAAGAGGCTTGAAGATTCATGGCCACAAACTCATGCACACATTAACTCACTGCCACCACCTTGTTTAAAAAAAATTGATGTTGCTTATTACAGAAAATGAAAGGAGGGAAAATATAATCTATAAGGAAGGATTAAGAATGACATGATAACTGTCTTCCAGTACTTGAGGGGCTCTCTCAGAGAGGGGGTTGACATTCTCCAAAACACTTGAGGGCAGGACAAGACACAATGGGAGAAAGCTCATTAAAGAGAGATCCTACAAATCATTCAATAATGTCCATCTTTTAATTCTTTCCAATCCACTGAAATTGGAAAAAATACATAAACAGGCTTGGAAGCACTGTCTACCTGCACCTCACAGCAGGATAACTCCAAACACAGAACAGAAATGAGACCAGATTTGAAGTGATGGTAGAAACCAGCAAAAGAAAAACATGATTTCAAGGATGAATAAGGTGCTTTCTGAAAAAAGAAATGGTGGACTGAAGACGGCTTCACAAGAAGTGGAGCCAATGACTGCAGTGAAGAATGAACAGCCTGCAAGTAGACCAGTTCTTTGAACCTCTCTCCAGATAAGGAGAGGACTTGAGATTACCCACAAGTGCTTCACACAGCTGCTTCTCATGAGAAGACCACAGATAGTGGTCTCTGGTGGGTTTGGAGGTCTGAGAGATGATGGAGTAGCCATCTTGCTCAAACCATGGCACCTTTGGAAGGAAACTGCATTCGCATACTTACTTTTCTAATCACTTTCTGAGAAATTGCTTATTAACTGTATTTTAGCTATATTAGAAAACTTTGCATTGACAAGCCTGAAAACATCAGGTGAGTTTCCTTTAATCCTTAGGAAAAGATAAAATAAGTTTTAAATACAAGTTTATGGGCATACACACACGGACACACATACATAGGTACATACAGACATACACAGGCACTCAGATGCGTGTACACGTACGTGTGTGTATATACACATACATATATATACCCCCACACACACATACATACATATAAACACACGATAGACGATAGAGAGAGAGAAAGAGAGACAGACAGATAGCAAAAGGGTGATTAGAATTCAGATTTTGGAAAATTACAAACGAACTAATAGTCCAGATGGATTTGAAATAAGATTTTGGAATTACAAGAATCTTTCTCACAGGAAAATGCTTTTGTTTTGAATTATTTTTAAAAACAGTGATAAGATGGGGCTGTGAAGATTGGACATTAGAGAGAACTAGAAGGAACCAAAGATTACAATTAAAAGAGAACACATAAACTCAATTTACAATTTATAGAATGGAGCAAAATATTCTAACCTTGGACATATTGAAGGGCATTTTTGAAAAATGGACTCAGAATGTAATATTAATAGGGTTAACAGAGACAGCTGCCTATAAGCAGATATTGTGCCTAAAAGATATTATTTAATTTATTTCTATATCAAACTTATTAACCACTCATCTTCCTCACAGAAGGGCTCTAGGTGGTGTAGAATTAAATCATTACAATAAAATATTAAAACCAAATAATTTAAGATTATAAAATGAAAAATGAAAAACATTATAAAATTGCAAGAGATGGAGAGATCCAAGACGGGGAGACTAAGAGTTGTTAATACAGGAGGGGGAGGGAGTTCTCATGGGACTAACTAGCTCCCTGGTTCTGTGGGGGCCCGTGTCTCCCACACAAGGCTACATAGCCAGGTTTTGACCCCTTTGTGGAAGGCCAGAAGATTGGAGGCTTTCCTCACTTTGGGTGGCAAAATGTTTCACAAAGCAAGAGCAGCAGCAGAAAAGGCCCTCTTCCTTGACCTCACCAGTCGGAATTCTCCCATTGATGGCCTTCCCTGCCTGAGCAAATGGGATGGGCTGATGTGATGGAGAGAAGATGGTTCTGTAGGTAAACCAGTCCTATGCTATGTAAGGCTTTATAGATAACAACACCTTGAATTGGATCTAGAAGCAAACTGGCACCCAGTGCAGTACGTGGAGCAGAAGTATCATATGTGCCCTTCTTTGGGCACTCAGTATAGCTTCTGCGGCTGCATTCTGTACCAGTTGATACCATCCATACAGAACACTCTGTTCAGGTAAAAAGATACCACATCCCTAGCAAAGGTAGTGCTTGACTTACAACCACAATCGGGACCAGAATTTCTGTTAGTAAGCAAGGTAAATGAGATTTTATTACCATTTTTGCCATGGTTCTTAAATCAATCACAGCAGCTGTTAAGTGAAACATATTGTTAAGAGAATCCAGCCTTCCCCATTGAGTTTGCTTGTCGGAAACCAACTGGGGAAGGTCAGAAGGGGCGTTGGTCCTACCTGATACGCACCTTCTCGTTGGGTGGAGACAGCAGCTAGGAATGGGTGTTCTCGCCTGTTCAGCTTGAAGGACTGAGTCTGTAGCAAAATTAAGCTCTGCCCTTGTTGCTAGGAATATCCAGCTTTTGACAAAGACGACAAACAGACTCGGTGTCTCGGGAGAAAGAAAGAAAGGTTAACAAGGAAGACCGGACAGTCAAAAGGTGGGGCTGGCTGCTGTCTCCACCCAACGAGAAGTTGCGTATCAGGTAGGACCAACACCCCTTCTCCATTGTGGGTGGAGACAGCAGCCACCCCCAGATGTAGCACTGCCCCCAGCAGTGGACAGCACTGCCCCCAGATGTAGAATACGTGTCGACGAGACCAATTGACTTTTCGCTATATTAATAGAGAAACTGTGCCCTCGGAGACAATGCATAGTTACTTGGAGATCCTCTAAGGAGAGATGTTCAGAAGAGGACTGAAATAAAATATCATCCAAGTAACATTGGACATGGATAGGGATGGCCCGGAGATGAGCCGCCAAGGTGGCAAGTACCTTAGTAAAGGCACGGGGAGCAGAAGACAGTCCAAATGGTAAGGCACAATACTGATAATGCGTACCGGCATAATAAAACCACAGATATTTGCGATGTGGGGGGAAAATGGAATATGTAAATAAGCCTCAGTGAGGTCAATGGAAGTGAGGAAGTTGCCCTTCCTGATGCCAGCCAAAATAGATTGAAGAGACTGCATTTTGAACCGTTTATAAACCACATAACGGTTCAATCTTCTAAGGTCCAGAATAGGTGTCCACACACCCGAGAATCTGGGGACCAGAAAGAGCAAGGAATAGAACCCTTGGCCCATCTGATCCTCTGGCACCTGCTGGATGGCTTGAATATCCAGTAGGTGTTTCATGGCCAAATCCATGAGGGCCTTTTTGTGCCCGTCTTTAGAGACAGGACAGTGAATAAAGAAAGTTGGAGGGGTAGAGAGAAATTCAAGGGATAGACCAGATATTACCGTATCCCTGACCCAAGAGTCCAATGTGAGAATGTCCCATTGGTCAGCAAATAGAGCTAGCCTGCCACCAATGGAACCATCAGACCTGCATCTATCGTTGACGGCAAAAAGGATGGCTTCCTCCCCCTCGAAAGGGCCACCTGCCAGGGGGAGTTCTACCTCTGTATCGCCTGTCTTGGGTCCCCCACTGTCTAGGTATGAAGGACCCCCGAGAATGAGAAATTCCAGTGCCCCAGTCAGATCCCCTCACAGGAGGCCTGCAGAAAAAGGGAGAGAATCGAGTGTCAGTTTTACGCTGCGAAGAAGGCAATATTTTGCGTTTTGTCTTTCGACTGTATGAGAAAGGGTTCCAAAGAAGAGCCAAATAAATTGCCCCCCGTAAAGGGGGAAGATGCCAGGCGCCACTTGTGATGGGCATCCACCTCCAATGTCGAAGCCAAACAAGCCAGCGTGCCACCACCGTTGAAGCCATAAAGTTCGAAGCGAAGCAGGCAGAGTCGAGGGTGGCATCTGCCGAAAACTGGACTGCCGCGATGATTTTATTTAAATCTTGCTGCAGCCTGGAGTCCTCAGGAGGCAATTTGCTTAACCAAAGCAGTGTCGCCCTGTTGAAGAAGGAGGCCGTGGTGGCAGATTTAATCGCCCAAGCCGCCCCCAAATGAGCACGTTGGAGAGTTTGGTCAGAACAGCATTCCTCAGGATGAAGACCTTCATCAGGTTCACCCGGGATGGCAGTGTGAGGCAGTAACGCTGCCACATGGGCATCAACTGTGGGTAGTTGGAGCAGATTAGCCATGTCGGGAGCCACATTAAACAAACGCTTGTCCATGGAAGAAGGAGCTGGAGCGGAACCAGGCGACGACCACTGGCGTTGAATAACATCCAGGAAAAGTGGAGGAGCTGGAATAGAATTGACAGATTTAGTAGGCTCAGAGAAAAGGGGGTTAAACGACCTTTGGGGTGTTGGAGGGACCTCTCCAGTAACCATTGGGCCCAGTTGCACCACTTGTGACGCTTTAAAGAGTAAGGATTTAAAAATTGCCGGAGGAAAAAGACCAGTAAAGGCCGGTTGTTCCGGCTCAAGGCCCTCGTCATCAGACAAGTCCGGTTCCGGGTGGTCAACCTCATCAAGAGTCGCTGGACGGGTCGCATGCGACAGAGCCGACAACTCTGATTCCGGACAGGATAGCAGAACATCCTCAACGTCCCTCCCAGGAGAAGCAGAAGGAACAGATCTCACAGAAGAAACTCTGCCAGGACGCAGATGACCAGCTTCCAGCGACATCTGTAGAGCCCTGGAAAAAATCTGTTGCAGATTATCAGGGAGCACATAGTCTCTATTGTGTGTGAGAAAGGATTCAGTCACCCCTGAAACTTGGCTCGGAGCAGTCTCCATGGACCCCACTAGAGGAGGAGGAGGAGGAACCAAGGCCATAGAAGGGCCCCACAAACCTGCAGTGAACACAGA